CAGCATAGGAGCTTGAAAGGGAGAATATTTCATTTTAAGAGGTTTCTTGCTATTAATGGTCACAGGACTCCACATCCCTAGAATGAGTGAGTGTTTAAAATGCTGCATTGTCTAGGTTAAACTAGGCCTACCGGACTGGGAGGGGAGGGAGCTGGGGCTCTTTTCAGCTTCATGAACGGAGGGAAGACACAGCTATCTCCTACTTCCGGAGATTCTATGCCGCCGTTGCTGACTGGCACAGGAGAAGGTAGTTACCCGTCTTCTGGCACCTGGGTAGTACACTGTTTAACTGCAGCATTCTCCCTGACCATTCCTGTTGCTTTGAGGAGAGTCAAGGGGGCTGCTACCCTTCTTGGGAAGCAGAATTAACAATAACGTTTGAGCTACAGAGGTCTCTTTATGCTCTTCCTGGACCCCACGCTTGCCCTGTTTAGGTGTAATGGGGTGGCAGGTTTATTCTTTCTCCTGCCATGACAGTTTCTCAGAGTGTGACAATATGTTTCTCCCATGCACTCCCTTCTGGTGCTTGCTCCTGAGCATCAGTTATATCCTTGCTTCACAGTAATGCAAGTGTAGTCATGGCTGTTGCCTTCATGTCAGGAGAGGAAGTTGAGGGATGTTTTCTTCTTTCTTGTTGAAACTCTGTGGCCTCAAGTCTTGTACATTTTGAAGGAAGTTTAATCCCCACATTACTGTATACAGATTGCTGTCACTAATACCTCCTAAACTAACTACACTAGAAATGAAGAATTGGGAAGTCCAGGCTACAGAAAATTAGTTGTATTAAAGTTAGCAAGCATCCTGTATTAACTCCCCCCCCCCAAAAACCCCCCCCCAAACAAACCAAAAACGTCTCTCAATTGCAGTCTTTGACTTTTGTCATGAATGGGTGTTGGCTGTTTTAGGATGATAGGAAAGCCCCCAAACTGAGTATTGTTTGACTAGATCCATCCTTGAATGTAATAAGGATGTGGTAAACTTCCTGGGACGGCAGGGCGGTGTCAGCCTTAAGTGGTTAGGAACTAACTGTAAATACCCTCTAACCAGTACATCTTCAATCAAGGTGTAGTTTGAGTGACTTGGAAAATGACAAGAAAGTAAAAAAAATGTGGAAAAATTGTTTGGACTGGTAATGCACTTACATGAAAGAGAAAGGAAGTAATAACTAGCTGTGTGTATCCATATGTTAGCATGTGATTGGAGTTCCAAGAATAATGTATAAAGATACGTGTTTTCAAGAGACCTTTTGATTTGTGTACTTTGGCCTGTGTCTCCTCTCTCAGTTTATACTGACCAGTCAGCTGAGAGTGAATAATGACTATTTGGTTTCTATTCACTGGCAAACCTTTAGCAA